AATGTGAATAAGATATTCTCCTTTGAGAATTGCAAATACTCCAAGTGCTCCTTTAATGGAGTCTTTCAGCCCAGCTTGAGAGGAAGATTCATGGTGAGAGGCTTTTAGATGTTGTCTAAAATATCCTATATTGAGGCAAAAAAGCATATAAGCATAACGTAGACTCAATTTTGGGTATCATTTTTAATTCTTTGTTCTTGGATTGCTCATTGTATTGATTACAGTGAGGTTTTTTTTACTTCTTACGTTCTAATTCTACTGTTTTTTCCCGCACAATTATTAGCATTCATAATTCGTAGAAAAGAAGCTGTAGGTCAGCTGGGTTTTTGTGTGCATGTTTTCTGAGTGAGCAGTTAAAACCTATGCATGGTAGGTTAATTGAGATATCTTAACCTGCTGTTAGTATGAATGTGATGCTGAATAGCTTCCTCCTCTGATGGAGTGGCAACCTATCCAGCATGTGCCCTGCCTCTTTTCTTTTTTCATCTATAATCTCAATGATCCCCTGGAACCCTCCATCCAAACACCTTCACAAAGCACTGTTAAAACATTCAACAGGTTTATTTACAGATTGTTAATAAAGTCAAATTGCTATCTTTGAATCTGAGGTTAAGAGACAGAGATAGTACAGGCTGTCCAATGGCAAACACACTGTCAACAGAAAACATGCCCACAGACACACACAGACAGAAAAGAAGGAGAGAGTCAGTGGTAGTGTGGTAGTAGTTGCATCAAACAGCTATGCAACCAGACCCTGGGATGTTCATTAGCGAACAGCCACCAACTTTAAAGATATGGAACGAGTGAACTGCTTCCTATGTGGACACAGTTTGAACAGATGTTTGAACAGGTTTCCAGATGTTCTACACCGAAATCGTCACGTGTATGAGAGCTCCCTGGTAGATATTTTTAATCCCTTATGCACACTTTCTGCGATTTCTGCCTAAGAGACTTACTCGCACATAAACAGTTATACAGACAAGCATACAAGACTTAAAGAGCTGGAAAGTTTCAAGAAAACATTCGAATAAAATCACAGGAATCCGACATTCACTTTATTACATATCAGTCACTCTGTCGCTGCTATTGTCTATGTTGCCTCTATTCCATGTGCAATATTTTGGTCTTTGTGCAATATTCTGGCAGATGTGCAATTACCACCCCCATCTTAAATGACCAATGACCTCCCTTCCACCCTTATCTATATATCATATTACTGCCCTTGTACACACACCCACAATGTTTCTGTGACTCATACACCGTGTATATATATAGAGTGAGAATATTATATACCAGTTAGATATATATTCTTATTTGTATATTGTTTTCTTTACTTTTTTAAAAATAGACTTTTTTACTTTGTGGTCTTGCTACCTAATTTCGATGTGCAAGAAACTACAATGACAATAAAAAAAAGTTCAGATACAACACCTCTTTTACCAGTGACATGTGGGCCCACTGGTGGACGATGAAGGTACTGCAGGTGCGCTGCAGCGATAACAGAAGATAAATCTGAAATTACTCACAAGCATATACAATTAAATATTTAATGTATTTATCTATATGAAATTAGTTTGATTAGTTTGCAGTATGGCTTATTACTCTGACCTAAATATATGCCTCTTGTTTTGAAGTTTGTGCCCTGGTGGTTGGCTCGGTCCCATGTTGGCCTTAATACTGATTTATGCATATGACTGGATAGCATTAACGATTAATAGCCAACAGCCTGTATTCCTTATGTTTTTTAATGCATTTTATTCAAGGAAATACATCACTTTCTCCTGGATTAGGGTGAAGACTTGAGATTTAGTGTGCCCTATGAGATTTTTGTGTTGTTGTTTTTTTTGCCGCAGCAATCATGACTTTGGGAATGGCCAGGTTTTTAATCTTGACAAAACAGCAGAAATCAGTGTTCTAGTCAGTATTTCCTCAGTTCCAGGTCAATAATAGTGCAGTATGCTCTTCACTGAATGAGCACTAATTTTTGCTTTCTGATATCCATTGCACTATTCTTTCTTCTCCACAGGCATTCTCTGCTTTCTACTTCACTCACAAATACATCTCGACCCTCACCAACATGGATATGACGTCTCCTAATCGAACCGAAGAGGCTGTCCGGCGCGTCTGCAGCATGAGCATCTCTGAGGTGCTGTCCATAAAGACTTTGAGACGTGTTGATTTGTAAATCCAGCAAACAAGCCACCAATTCTTCACCATGTTACTTGAAGGCTCTGAAGTCACTGTCAACATATATCTACATATATTATCTATTATATATCTATCAATATCTCTGTTTCTACACTCGTTTTTTATGAGTGCTTGATGTTTGTTGTATATTTCCGGCTTGACACACTGTATTTTCACGCATAGATGACGAATAGGACAAAGCAGGATAAGAGATACATGAAGAATGTCTGCGCCGTCTCCAATTTCGTCCAGGTGCTCCTAACACAAGGCTACCATTTTAACGAGGTTTCCCTTCCTTCTATTTCTTTTGAAAAAAAGGTGAGAGGTGAAACGAAATGATTTGCTGGAATTTAGGAACTGATAGAATCCACAATATGATGTGATATCACTGCACCTCTTCTTGTGTTTCTGTAGGCCGGAGGAGCATCTGTAGGCTGGGCTTTGGGTTACATGCTAAACCTGACCAATCTAGTTCCAGCCGAAAATCCTGTAGCGATGAAGACCCTGCCCATAGGGCCCTGGAAAGGCATCCTCTTCCTCTCCATCATCCTCATCTTCTTTGCACTGGGATACCTTCTCTTTGTCTACAGAAAAACAAAATCTAATGAAGGAATGCTTTGAGAGAGTAAATTTCTCTCAGGCAAAAAGCCTTCAGTAAACACCGTTTTAATTTTGGCTTTTTATATTATGTAGCAAAAATCATTCTTAAAGTAAAGCTTGCCCTGTACAAGTTTTGCTTTAGATTCACAAATTTCAGTAAATGTTCAGCTTACTCATGTCAGTGTGCACAAAATCCAAAATAAATGGGATCCTTTTTTAAATGTTCCAGACTCAGTGTGCAATACAAAACCACTTGTGATTAACTTGTCATTATTTAGCACTTTTCTAGTTTGAATGAGCACTGAAAGTAGCTTTTACTACAAGCTATA